TGGCGGGGTGACAGTCATGGGGTGCAGAGTGCCCCCTGGATGAACCGATGAGGGAAAGGTCTGAAGACTCCTGCAGAGAGCTCGGGGGCGGGGTGCCCGTGGCCACCACCAACAGCTCATTTAAAAGGAGGGTTCCCTGGCCCATCCCTGGTCTGAGCCAGGCGAGACCTGGGGCTGTGGATTTTAAAACAAACCCCCGGGCAAGCGGTGCAGGGGCAGGGCGACCTCGGGCGGAGCTTCCTGCTCTATGGCCAGCCTGCCCTGCGCGCCTATTGGCCCAGCTGGTCCATAAGTCAATCCCAGTGTCCCGGCAGCGTGGGGCACGGGGAGTGGGGCGCTCCCTGGGTGGGCAGGAGGAGCCTGTCCCAGGACCTAATTTCATCAAATCCAGGGGAACGTGGGACTCGACCTCCAGCCATCATAGAAATGAATGTCTGAGAAACATTCTTATGTCTCATCTCTTAGCCCATCACAGGCTGCCTCTCTCCCCCGCTCCCGGGGTGGGGCAGGCAGGGGCGGCCTCCTCCCACACCCCATGCTGGGTGGAACAGCCCACCTGCCTCTGGTTCAGCTTGGATTTTATTCCAGGAGGAAATAGAGAATGTCTCCAAACACAACACTGTTTCCTTTTACTCCAAGCCTCCAGATGCTTTTCCTTCTGAGTCAATGGCTTGGAGCTCCTTGCACCACTGGGAAGCGGGCGGGACTTACACGGACCAGCTGGGCCAACAGGCATAGGGCAGGCTGGCCATAAAGCAGGAAGCTCCGCCCCAGGTCGCCCTGCCCCGCACCGCCTCACCCGGCAGTGTGCCCAGGGGTTTGTTTTAAAATCCACAGCCCCGGGTCTCAGCCCGCACAGACCAGGGATGGGCCAGGGAACCCACATCTTAAACAACCTGTCCGTGGTGGCCAGGGGGCACTCCCCTCTGAGGCCTCCTTTGCTCATCCGTTCATTCAGCGAACACAAACTGAGCGCCCACTGTCTGCCTGGGCCTGTTCTAGGTGCAGGGGGCCTGCTAGGAAAGCTGACCATGTCAGAGGGTGATGGGAGCCGTGTGCAGGGAGGCGGGAGGGGAACCGCTGGGCAGGGAGGGGCCGCCCCCTTTCAACACTGTGGTCAGGAAGACCCTCTGGGGTGGACACTCGGTGCTGAGCCCTGGGAAGGGAGAGGGGGAGTGGTGCCAGTATTAGGGGGAGAGCATTCCTGGCCCTGCTAGTGCAAGGGAGGTGGCCACTTGTGTCTGGGTGACAGTGGGGAGGCCTGTGTGGCCAGAGCCAGGGGAGGAGAGTGGGGGGGCGGGGCCAGGGAGGCTCCGGGTGGTTGCCATGTGGCCACACCTGACCTCCTCCATCTGTCTCTTGCTCTGTCTGAGAGTTACATGCCACCCTTGGGCACCCTCCCGAGTGCAGGTGACGAGGGCTGTCCGTCCCTGGCGAGCAAGGGCCCGCCTCCCTCCGAGCCCGCCGTGCTCACTCATCTCCATGTACTCTGGGGTGAGGCCCCCGAACGGCTCCAGCGTGAAGTCCGCCTCGTATCGCTGCTTCCTCTTCATGTGCTCGTCGTGGTCGGCGGGGCTCTGGCGCTTCAGCCGCAGGTAGCGGATGAACTTCTTCATCTTCCTGAAAGCAAGGCCAGGACTCGGTCAGGTTGCCAGGAGGGCGGGCTCTGGGGGGCTGAGTCTGGACCGCCAGCCGTGCTCCGAATTCCCTGAGCCGTCATGTCACACCCTGAGCTGTCGCACTGGCCAGCACTGCTCTGTCCACGGGCCTCTTTGCCCTTCCCCCGAGGCCGGGGTCCTAAGGAAGCAGAGGCGCAGGGAGGGCAATGGCCACCTAAAGCCGCGGGGGGGCCCTGAAGGTGCTGAGGGTCTGGCTGTGCCTACAAGGACCCTGGAGGGCGGAAAGAGAAGGCAGATCATGGCGCCTTGGAGGGGGACCGGGCCATGGTTCCTGAGGGATGCTGGGTAAGCAGGCACAGCCTCCACAGGACCTGGCGGTACTCTGCATCCTTGGCCAGTCGGGGAGCAGAGTCCCCGGCCTCCTCCTCGTTCCCTGTGGGGTGGCTTCCGTCCGGTCCTCCCCTTCTGTCCTCACCACCTCCCTGTCTGGCATCCCCACGCCCCCCACCCCGTCCTGGCCCAGGCCCGGCACCATCCTGCCCCCCGGCCCGGCGGTACTCACGGGATGCCGATCTCGAACAGGTTGTTCTGGATGAGCTGCTTGCCCAGCATGATGATGCTCAGCTGGATGCACAGCTCCATCAGGCAGCCGCCCGGGGCACACTGCAGGTAGAGGGGGGGGGGCGTGTGAGATCCCACCCCACCCCGAGGGCACGGGAGAGAGGACCCGCCCCCAGGGAGGGGAGCTCGGCCTTCATGGGGTGGGCTGAACTGTGTCCTCCACAAAGCTCGGTCCACGTCCCAATCCCAGAACCTCAGAAGGGGACCTTATTTAGAAACAGGGTCTTTGCAGACCGGACCGAGTTAGAATGAGGTCACACGGGAGCACAGTGGGCTCCTGTCCAATGACTGGTGTCCTTACAAGAAGAGAACACAGACCCGCAGAGAAGGCGAGTGAAGCCGGAGGGAGGCAGAGGTCGGAGAGCTGTGTCTATATGCAAGGGAGCGCCACGGACTGCCCGTGGCCATGGAGGCCGGGAGAGGCCAGGCAGAGCCCCCTCCAGCCTTTGGACGGAGCGCAGCCCTGTGACACCCTGGTTTTGGACATCTGGCCTCCAGAACTGCGAGGGGATCCATTTCTGTTTGTTTTTCTTTTAAATATTTTAAATGATTTCAGAGAGGAAAGGAGAGGGCGATAAACATTAATGATGAGAGAGAATCATTGATCGGCTGCCTCCTGCACACCTCCTACTGGGGATCCAGCCCACAACCGGGGCATGTGCCCTGACCAGGAATCAAACTGTGACCTCCTGGTTCACAGGTCGATGTTCAACCCCTGAGCCACACCAGCCAGGCAATTTCTGTCGTTTTGAGTCTCCCATCTGTGGTATTCTGTTTGGCCGCCCGGAAGCTAGTGTGCCCGGCCTGTAGGCCTTTGGGGCTGGGACCTGGCTCAGGGAGGGAATGCACGGCCAGGCTGGGCAGTGCTGGGGCTGATCTCGGCTTCCCTTCCTCCCCCAAGGCCAGTGCCCTGTCCCTGACACTGGCTGCCTGTCCACAGACCCTGCATGGCCACGGCCATGGGCACAGGCACGGCAGCCTGGGGTCCCTGCAGTTGGGAAGCCACACAGTGAGACAGCCAGCCACCTACTGCCCCTGTCCTTATGGGGCTTGTGTGGCCTTAGGGTGAGAACTTAACCCATCTGAACAAAGAGAACTCAGGACACACTAGAGACCCCTGAGTACAGATGACTCCTCTTTGAGTCCCTAGCAAATCTCTTTATATTGTTACCCAAAAGTTTTTCTTGCAGAGCCGTCATGTCATTAAAAAAAAAAAATGATGATGGCTGTAGCTGGTTTGTCTCAGTGGATGGAGCATTAGCTCATGGACTGAAGCGTCTGGGTTTGAGTCTGGTCGAGGGCATGCACCTCAGTTGCTGGCTTGATCCCCGGCCCTAGTTGGGGCACATGTGGGAGGCAACCAATGAATGCCTCTCTCTCACACTGATGTTTTTCTCTCTCCGTCTCTCCCCCTCCTTTCCCCTCTCTCTCTAAAAAAAAAAAGATGATGTCTTTGCTGTATTCTATTCTACGAAGGCATGTCACCAACTTCCCCAGACATTGCAGAGTTTGACAGCGCGCCGTCCATGTGAAGGGCAAACATCTCTTCCCGTGGGTGAGGCCTGTGTCGGGATGTTCAGAGGCTGGCACTCAAGGGGCTGAACCTCTAGGCTGTGCCCTGGGCAGCCAGATTGCCCTGTGCCTGATGCCCACCCCAACCTTCTCCTCCACAGGCTCTTTATCAGGAAGACACTCCCCCTTATTTTTCGCCAAGTGGGATTATTCTGGGGGTGGGAAATGCTGACCTGGTCCCCCGAGACCTGAACAACCCACCGACTCAGAAGCCCAGCTTGGTCTGGGGCTGGGACTCAGCGGCAGAGGACAGTGGGCGCCCTGACCAGACCCGCGGTGGCCCAGGGTCACCAGCATCGTGTTTGGGGGGAAGAGAAGTGGGCATTCCGATGTTAAAGTAAAATGAAAGGTAGCCGAGTTTTGTTTTCCCCTCATCTTAACCAAAGAGGAGAAGATCCTCGGTCTCATAGAAAAAGGAAAAAAAATCGGTGTCCTTGTTGGGTTTCCCCGACTACGAAGAGACGCTCCTTTCGGGGTGAGCCTGTATGGACACACCTCAGACTATCAGAGCCCGGCCACTACCCGGGAGAGAGGGGCTCCCATGGGAAGGAAGGAGGCTGCCCCCCGATAAGGAATCGGCCGGGTGCTGAGTAGACAGAATGGAAATGTGATAGGGGCCCGGGAGGCTCGCGAGCTCACAAAAGGGTCCATGCGGAAGGACCGGAAGATGTACACGTAGTCGCCGGGGCGCCCCACGAACCTGTAATGGTTGGAAGGCAGTTAGAGGGCAGAGTCCCAGCTTGGGGGACCCCTGGGGAAGGGGCAAGCTGAGACCCCCAAAGGCACAGCCCGGAGTGTGTTATAGAGGCCTCTCTCTGCCTGTTCCACTGGCTAAGAAATGACCGGGGGCTTTTCTGTTAGTCCAGTGTTCCTGTGACTGCCAAACCCACATGGGGTAAGAAACGTAACAGGAAACCAAGTGGCTGAGGGGGGACGGAAGCGGGGAGCCCAGGAGGGGACGAAGGCCAAGCTGTCACCCACCATGGCAGGGCCCCGGGACCCCAGGGACCTTGGAGGCTGGGGTGTGGTGGTCCCTGAGGCTGCCTCTCAGCTTCCTGTGGGATGTGAGGCTGGGGGCCTGCTTCATTGTCATGTATGCTCTCGGGGGGCCTGGAACCCTTGGTTGGGCTCTGGGACCCTAGGGTGGGAGGACCCCAAGGGTCTTGTAAATGATAGGGTGCTGAGGAGGAGCGTTTGGGAGGGGTCTTGGGATCAGACCTGCCAGCCCCAGCAGGAGGGGTGGTGGGGAGTCTGGTGGAGGGGGTCACGGGCCAGGATGGCTCCAGAGGGTCCAGACACGGACTCACCCTGCCACCAGCCTGGCACATGGAGCTGGTCAGTAGTGGCACTTCTTATACCTTCTCCCAGGGCCCTCGCCCTCGAGTCATCAGGTCCCTCTGTGGAGGCACCTGGCGCTCGCTGCCTGGGGTCCTTATTATCTGGGGTCCCCACTGTCCAGGGTCCCTGCTGTCTGGGGCCTCCATGGTCCAGGGTTCCTGCTGCCTGGAGTCCCTAATGTTCAGGGTCCCTGCTGCCTGGCACCCCCACAGGCACTAGAACTGGGCGGCAGTGAGAACCATCCTGACTGCTCTGTCCTGGGCCATGGTGCCCCCCGCCTGCAGACAAAGGAAGGGGAGCCTCCCACGGGCCTGGCAGCAGCAAGTGGGGGAAAGGCAGTGAGTTTCAGTCGCTGAGGAGGTCCCTACCGGCCTTTGAAGAAAGCCACGTAAAAGTTGCTATATTTTAGAGATATATATTTTGAGGTAATTTTTCTCTGGAACTTTTTTCTCTTAGAAGTTCATGTGCATCATGAAAAATCCTCACTTTGTAAATCCCTTCAGAATTAATGTGCAAACTGTCAGATGCACATAAGTTAAATATGAACTTTTAGTTAGTAGATGAGTTAGTATTTCTCTTCACA